GCTAGAGAAAAGTCGAGTATCATTTATTTGTATCACGATGCACCAATAGTCAACCTATATGATGATAAAGATATGGTAAAATAGTTTTGAATTTTCATTATAAACAACTAAGAACTTCAGATACAATTGCATATATTTGTTTTCAGGTGCTTCGACGGCAAAAAAGCAGCATGATATAAATTACCTGCTGTTCAAAGTTAATGAAGTTCTGCGTGATAGTAACCTCAAGCGACTCGGTGAGACTTTCAACCCTGAAGCCGACACATCTCGCTATACTGACGGTGGAGCCGCTGTCCACAAGCTTATGACGGAGCTGAGGGACCATAGGCTCCTGGAACAAAAACATTGGTTCTCCCTCTTCAATACACGACAACGTGAAGAAGCACTTATGCTCTACGATGTTTTGGAACATAGCAAGGACTGGCAAACTTTCATCAGCAATGCCGCTTATTTCAGAAGCCGCATGAATGAAGGAGAATTTGTGTATGCATTGTATGCAGCAGTAACGCACTCTTCACTCACCAAACACGTTGTACTTCCACCACTGTACGAGGTCACCCCACATTTGTTCACAAACAGTGAAGTTATCCAGCAAGCCTACCAAGCCAAGATGACTCAGACACCTGGTAAATTCCGATCACACTTTACGGGCAGTAAAAAGAACCCAGAACAACGTGTAGCATACTTCGGCGAAGATATTGGCCTGAATACTCACCATGTTACTTGGCACTTGGAGTTCCCATTCTGGTGGAATGATGCAAATGAAGGCCACCATCTGGATCGCAAGGGTGAAAACTTCTTCTGGGTACATCACCAGCTCACTGTTCGTTTCGATGCTGAACGTCTGTCAAACTACTTGGATCCCGTTGATGAACTTCACTGGGAAGAAACCATCAAAGAAGGCTTCGCTCCTCACACAACTTACAAATATGGAGGTGAATTCCCATCTCGTCCTGATAATATTCACTTTGAAGATGTCGACGGTGTCGCACGCATTCGAGACTTGGTCATTCTTGAAACCCGCATTCGTGACGCCATTGCCCACGGATATGTTACTGCCAAAGATGGATCTACTATTGATATAAGCAATTCTCACGGAATTGATGTCCTTGGTGATGTAATTGAGTCGTCAACATACAGTCCTAACATCGAGTATTACGGTTCACTCCACAACACAGCTCATATAGTTCTTGGTCGCCAGGGAGACCCACATGGAAAGTACGACTTACCTCCTGGAGTACTGGAACACTTTGAAACTGCCACCCGTGACCCAGCATTCTTCAGGCTCCATAAATACATGGATAATATCTTCAGGGAACATAAGGATAGTCTTACTCCCTACACAAAGGAAGAGTTAGAATTTAGGGGCGTCAAAATTGACAATGTTGTCATTGATGGAACATTAGAAACGTATTTTGAAGATTTTGAATATAGTTTGCTAACTGCTGTGGACGACACTGTCGAAATTGATGACGTAGAAATCACTACACTTGTATCACGTTTGAACCACAAGGACTTTTCCTACAAAATTGATGTTGTGAACAACAACGACAGAGAAATGTTGGCAACAGTTCGCATCTTCGCTTTGCCACACCGTGACAACAATGGTATTGTCTACCCATTCAATGAGGGACGCTGGAGAGCCATCGAACTTGACCGGTTCTGGAAGAAACGTAAGTTCCTTTTCAAATTATTTCTTACATGAAAATTTGTTTTGCTTATAATTTTTAATTATTGATATGTAGATCAAATTATCGCAGTGATATTATACGAAGCATCAAAATGTTTGTCAAGCTATGATGTTTGTATGTTACCTCTTGTTTATATTAATATACATAATACCAAATATATATTCCAACAGTAAGACCTGGTGTGACCCACATCGTGCGAAAGTCCACTGAATCGGCAGTGACTGTCCCTGATGTGCCTAGTTTCCACACATTGATTCAGAAGGCTGACGCAGCTCTCTCCTCTGGCTCCCAGCTCGACCTCCATGAGTACGAGAGTGCTCTAGGACTGCCCAACAGGTTCTTGCTCCCAAAGGGTAACTCAGAAGGTCTGGAATTCGACCTGGTGGTAGTTGTGACCGATGGCTCGGCTGATGCAGCTGTAGATAATCTACATAGAATCACCGAATTCAACCACTATGGTTACCGCGGAGTGTATCCTGACAACCGACCACACGGCTACCCACTGGATCGTCGTGTTGACGATGAGCGCATCTTCAACGACCTTCCCAACTTCAAAAAAATTATTGTCAAGATCTACAACCGTAAATAGAACGAGAGTATTAAAACATTTACTCCACTAGAAAGCAAAAAATAATTTGGAATTTTATTGGAATTTTAGTAGTAGTAAGTAAATAAAACTCATATTCTGTAACTAAAGTTTCTCAGTATTGTTGTATTTTCTATTTGAACTTATTTCAAGACACCAGCTGTTATGAATGTTATATCGAATATTAATATTTGAATCAATAAATGTAAAAAGAACTTTTTAAGTAATTATAATTAACAAAGATGTTCATAAAGTTTAACTTTGAATGGTACAACAGCATAAATGGCAAGGAAAACAGTTTGAAAATGTCGTATCCAATAAAAGCCTGCATTGAATTTATGGAGCAAAAAAAAAAATATTTGCCTGCTCTATTCTTTAAAAGCTATAATCATGTTTTATTTTCTGAGAAAAGTAAAGACAATACTTCCAAGACTTTTGATGACTTGTTATATGTTGGTATTTCTTGTTAAAAACAAATTCCCTTGAAATATTGGTAATTATTAACTAAATGGGTCACATACGATGTAAAGAGCACCATCTTCACCCGAGGTAAATTTTGCTATAGGGTTAATAAGATAATATATTTTAAGGCACTAGTGTAATAATCACAGGTCAGTAGCACTAAGGAACTAATTTGGACATCAGAACACAAAAAGAAATTTTGACCTGTTACTGAAGATGATGAAACCGAGAAGATCCATCATTTAACATAGATGCCACAATTAATAAGCATATCCATAGCTTCACAACTGCTCTCAGCTCATGGACTCGCTGGTGGTATGTAACTGTAGCATAGATAACACTTAGAAGGCTTTTGAAGACTGAATTGAATTAAAAAATCTAAGAGACTCGGTATTGAGGCTGTCAACTGCTGAGGACGCGGTTAACCTCCAAGAAGATATAAACAAAGTTTTTCCAGTGGGCAACGGAAAACAATATGATGTTCAATGAGGACAAATTCCAACTACTCTGTTATGGAAAATTGGAGGAGATAATAACTAGAACAGAGTATACTACAAACTCTGGGCATACAGTAGAGCGGAAAAATAATGTAAGGGACCTGGGAGTAGTAATATCTGAGGATCTCACTTTCAAGGATCACAACAGTGCCACGATCACAAGTGCAAAGAAAATGATAGGATGGATAATGAGAACGTTCAAAACGAGAGATGCCAAGCCAATGATGATCCTTTTCAAATCACTTGTTCTCTCTAGGCTGGAATACTGCTGTACATTAACATCTCCATTCAAAGCAGGTGAAATTGCAGATCTAGAGAGTGTACAGAGATCCTTCACTGCACGTATAAGTTCTGTCAAGCACCTTAACTACTGGGAACGCTTGGAAGCACTTGACTTGTACTCGTTGGAACGCAGGAGGGAGAGATATATCATAATCTACACTTGGAAAATCCTGAAGGAATGGTCCCAAATCTGCACACAGAAATCACTCCCTACGAAAGTAAAAGACTGGGCAAGCGATGCAAAATGCCCCAATTAAAAGTAGGGGCACCATTGGTACACTAAGGGAAAACACCATAAGTGTCCGGGGCCCAAGACTGTTCAACAGCCTCGCATCAAGCATTAGGGGAATTGCCAATAAACCCCTGGCTGCCTTCAAGAGAGAGCTGGACAGATACCTAAAGTCAGTGCCGGATCAGCCGGGCTGTGGCTCATACGTTGAACTGCATGCGGCCAGCAGTAACAGCCTGGTTGATCAGTCCCTGATCCACCGGGAGGCCTGGTCATGGACCGGGCCGCGGGGACGTTGATCCCCGGAATAACCTCCAGGTAACCTCCAGGTAACCTCCAGGTAACCTCCAGGTAACCTCCAGGTATGGTCAGAATTGTGAAGCTGGATAAACAATGTCAGATATCCACTTCAAAGTTTATCTCTCAAGGGTAAGATGAAAAGGTACTTACATTTTGCCAAAACTAAAGACTTTACCTCTGTTTGTTCAGGCATTCAATGAAAATGCCAAGAGGGCTCATTTTCAGGCAAGCAAATGGAGGGCTTCTCCAGATGAAGAATCTCCATTCCTAACTCCAATGAAACTACGGTGAGAAGAACGATCCTTCTGAGACTCTGTGGTGTACTTTCACCACAGGATGATCGGGTTGTACCCCAAGAAGTTCTGAAACTGATCTACTGTAGCTGCGGTAGTGATCAGCTTGTCTCTTAAATGTGGATGTGCAACTGTTCCTTTTTTCCCCTCTGTGTTTTGTGTATATTGTGTATCTGATGGATGATGTAGAGGAGGAAGGTCATGATAATACTGATGAAGATGATGAAGATATCATGGATTACTTTCTTCAGTAGTATGATTGTAATTCAAGACCCTAGCATCGAGGTGTGTTCACCTGGGTGTGTGCGAGGGGATTTCAAGCTCAAACACACAGTTAAAAATATTCCATACCCCTGGCCGGGATTGAACCCGCGGTTATAGAGTCTTAAAACTCCAGCCCGTCGCGTTAGCCACTAGACCAGCTAGCCACAATCATAGAGTCTCAAAACTCCAGCCCGTCGCGTTAGTCACTAGACCAGCTAGCTGGTCTAGTGGCTAACGCGACGGGCTGGAGTTTTGAGACTCTATGACCGCGGGTTCAATCCCGGCCGGGGGTATGGTTTATTTGCAATCGTGTCATTACGATTTCTTGAGTCAAGTTAAAAATATTCAGTAGGAATATTACTATGTGACCGAAGGAGCAAAAAATTGCCTTTTAGTTAGTAGCGGTTTTATTTATCCAGAATGCACTGTACTACAGAGTAACACTGATGCAACATCACTCAACGTTTCTCTAGTCACCATTGCTGCAATCGCATGCAACACACTACTGATTACTAAGGTAACACTGAATATCAATGTCTAACTGCTATTGTTTCACATAACACAATGTCACCTCTTACATTGTTACAAACATCATGTGACACAACTCTAGTCGTCCTGATGCCACTAAACAGTATGCACATAATTAGGTGTTATCTTCACATGACACATCACTGTTGAGCCAAAGAGGGAGGGGATGGATTGGTCTTTGTCCATGGCCTGGACACCTAGTGGTCATGGCTTGGACATCTAATGGCTATAGCCTGGGCACTTAATGGCTAACCATTTAAGAGACGACGATGTACAGTGACCAACAACGACCAATGTCCTCTTTCTTTTCCATGGGCTCTGCATATTCTAGGTGACCTAGGCCATGCCTTTCCCTGCCTTTAATGAGGCAGAAAGCTCGACCATTGACTGACTCAAAGCTGTTAACCAAGAAGAATAAATCAATCAACAGCAACTTGCGGCTGCTGGCAGTCAACCTTATTGGCTGACCCATTCCCTGATATGTTTTCAAACGACGGCTGTTGATAAAATTCAGCTATTTCATTAACTTTACCTTCATTAGTCACTCATCATTATATTCGTTAAAATATTTTGGCTATCAATTAAGTATTAGCTGAGAAGTTCAATGTTAGGATGTCAGGAGAAACCCTTAAGCTGTCATGACACTGCACTAGCAGTAGCAGTAATAGTTTTAGTTTAGGGAAGATACATACAAAAATTATTGAGCAAGGATCATCAACAGTGTACTGGTAATAATCGACTGTGTCTCATGTACTGCCCTGCTTATATATGAATCTCAATATCATTGTTGAATATATTGCAGTATCCATTTGAGTGTCATCTGTAGGTACGTGAGTAGATGTTTGATTAATGTTCTCTGAATCTAACCCAATTTAATTGAATGCTTTATGACACGAATAGTATTGTCTACTTCGCTGTCCTTCCCTACCTTATGAGAAGGCGAGTGTGTCTCATATACTGTAACAACTGGTAGAGGAGTAAGACACAAGTGCAACACTTTGGTTTCATTATTATCGTTACCTTCCGTCTGCTCAGCAGCCATATTCTGTCAAATACACAAGTGAATAATATACAGAAGACAATGAAAAGCTGGTGATTTTTAAAGCATTCAGTCTCTCTGTCCTGAAGGAATTAGAGAAGTAATTTTAAAGTACCCAATTCGTCAGTTTTAAAAGAAGTTGTACAGTACACAGATATCCCCTACATAGGAGAGAGAACCTTATGACGACGTTTCGGTCCAACTTGGACCATTTACAAGTCACATTAACAAATAAAGGTGAGGGAGCCAGAATATAATAAGGGAGGGTGACAGGGACGACCCAAAGTGAGGAAGAAAGAAGTGGAGAAGTAGTGATCGAGGTAACGCTAGCAATGGAAGTGGTAGTAGAAATATTAGTGGCAATATTAAGTAGGGAAAGTAGTGGTAATGGCACAAGAAACAGAAAGGGGAGTGAAACGAGGCAATAGTAGTAGTAGTAGTAGTAGTAGTAGTAGTAGTAGTAATGGAGTATTGGTATTAGTAGAAGAAGTAAAACTGGAGTAAGTCTAAGGACAAGAAAAAGGAGCACTGCAGGAGAGCCAATGACCCACAAGCGTAGGACAAACACCACAGGGGAATAAAGAAAAACTGAAGGACAGAGCACACCTAGGCAGAACAAAGGAAGACAAAGAAAAATAGGAAATAGAAGAGGTAGGGAAAGGAGAAGAAAAAATCAGGTCAAGACATGAGCGTTATGATGTTTGGAGCATTTGACAATGTAATGAGAAAGGAAGGCATCAACAGTAATAAAGCTAACACTATGATTCATGTTAGGAGAGTTGTGTACAAGGGAGGCTTCAACAAGACGGCGTCTGTGAAGAACAGAAAAATGGTAGACAGTTTTAGTAGAGCATCAGTCAACAGGATAACTCTGATCTCTAATATGACCCCAAAAGAGCATCCATGATATATTTCCCATTTGTTCTGTAGATTTTATTATTCATTTTTCTGTCAAATTATATAATGAAAACGCTTAACAAATTCGTCAAACTAATTTTTTCTCTTGTAAGAGACAAAGTGTTTCAGAATTAGCATTAATTGCTTCACAGTTAATATATATTGCTTCAGAATTAGTATTAATTACTTTATAATTAACATACATTGCTTCAGAATTAGTATTAAATGCTTCTCAGTATATATTGCTTCAGAACTGGTATCAGTTGCTTCAAAATTAGTATATATTGCTTCAGAATTACTATCAACTGATCGTATCCCACCGAGACAAGGTGACCCAAAAAGAAAAACGAAAGTTTTTCCCTTTTAAAGTTAATTTACAGGAGATGAGGTTACTAGCCATGTGCTCCCGGCATTTTAGTCGACTCTTACGAC